CCTGCTGCTGCAGGCAGGTCTCGTGCCCAGCCCATCATGCGGCGGGGAAGTTCAGGACAGATGGACGCCGCTGAGGAGAGCAACGATCGTGTTGGGAGGAAGGGGTTGGGAGGATGAAGGGCATGAGCAATGGCATTCGGATTCAGTGCACGATACCTTCGACCGCCTCTGGGCAAAGGTATCCCCATCTCTCCCAACCCCATCCTCCAAACCCAATGCGGCAAGTTCGTGTCGTGACGACCCTGGCGTTGGTTTCTGACACTTCGTCGATCGCTCAACCTTGAACGTTCGGCGGCTTCCCGATCGCCCGATCGTTCCCTGTAGGCCGATTCTGGGCCAGGCGGCGTTCAACCTTGAACGCCAGCGGCGTGGTCGCCGCCAATCGACACAACGCGAAACTACCGTAACTGTCTTCCTGGGCCCCTGCCGCACGCCCCCACCCGAGGCGGCCGGGAGATGCGGACACCCGCGCCCGCTTCTCCCCGGCGGCAGCGCGAACTGGCGCCGCCCGAGTGCGCGCGGGGGCCCCGCCGCGCCCCCAGTGCTTCGTTTGGGCCTGGCGCCCCTTACTGGGGCTGCCTTGGAGCCTCACACTTGGGTTCTCCCTGGCTCCCTGGTGGCCCTCCCCCTCCTCCCCCTCCTCCTCCTCCTCCTTCTCCTCCTCATCCTCCTCCTCCTCCTCTTCCTCCTCGCCCCTCCTCCTCCTCATCCTCCTCCTCCTCTTCCTCCTCCTCCTCTCCTCCTCCTCCTCCTCCTCCTCCTCCTCCTCCTCCTACTCCTGCTCCTGCTCCTCCTCCTCCTCCTCCTCCCCTCCTCCTCCTCCTCATCCTCCTCCTCCTCCTCCTCCTCTCCTCCTCTCCCTCCCTCCTCCTCTCCTCTCCTCCTCCTCCTCCTCCTCCTCCTCCTCCTCCTCCTCCTCCTCCTCTTTCCTCCTCCTCCTCCTCCTCCTCCTCCTCCTCTGCTCCTCCTCCTCCTTCCCCCCGGCCTCCTCCTCCTCCTCCTCTCCTCCTCCTCCTGCTCCTGCTCCTGCTCTCTCCTCCTCTCCTCCTCCTCCTCCCTCCTCCTCCTCCTCCTCCATCTCCTCCTCTCTCCCCCCCGCCGTCCTCCTCCTCCTCCTCCTCTCTCCTCCTCCTCCTCCTCCTCCTCCTCCTCCTCCTCCTCCTCCTGGGGCCATCTGGACGTCCTCTGGGGCCTCTGGGTGCTGCTTCTGAGGGGAGCTGGCAGCGGTCGGGGGGCGCATTGTCCAGGGCGGTGCCGGGCCAGCTGGTGAGGGCCCTCTTGGGCCGTGTTGAAGGGATCTCTTGGGGGCCTCTTGGGCCGTCTTAGGCGTCCTGAGGACAGGAAGAGCGAGGATGCAAACGCAACAGAAAAGCCGAACGGTCATCAATTGTCTTCGCTTCTGGGGCACATCTTGGGGGTCCTCGTGGAGCCCTTTTTGGGCCGCCTCGAGGCCATCTTGGGCCGCCCTGGGGCGCTCTGGAAGCCGTCTTGGGCTGGCTGGGAGCCCTCTTGGGCCATCTGGGCCATCCGGGGCCCGGGCTAGCTTGAAGCGTTCCAGGGCGCTGGGTGACGGAGCCGGCCGGGCCGACTTTGACCTCCGTGGTCCTGGCGCCCTCGTGGCCCGCGCTCTGCGCGGGGTGACGATTGCGGCAAAGCCGACACTGCGCCCCGCTTCTCTGCAGCTTCCTGTGCCCAACTCTCGGTAGGCGCAAGCGATGATCCGAAGTCCAGACTTCGCAAGCTCAGAGGCCTTGGGCCTCTGGGTGTGCTGAGATGGAGACTCTGAGCTCGGGGGGCCCAGAGTGGTGATAATCCTGTGCGTGCCCCCGCCTGTCTCTCTGGACTCGCTTGCTTGCTTGCGAGTCTTGCGCCGCTGGCTCTCTGGACCTGGGGGACGTGATATGGCCTGAATCCCTTGCCCGTGCAACGCCTTCTGGGATACGACGTGAAGCCGAGACTCCAGCCACACCTTCCGGACCTGGAAGGCATGGAGTGGTGAGAACCCCGTACCCCTGTCACTATCTCCCGGCCTGGGAGACCCACAATCGTGAGAATCCGGTGCCACTGCAACGCGTTCTGGACCTGGAAGACTCGGAATGAATAAGACCGATGCCGCGTTGCCTGGCCGTGGGATGCCGGAAACAATGAGGACCCGATGCCACTACCGAAGAGGCGAGCAACAGGAAAGCATTCGAAAGCCATCCGATCATCATTGGTGGTTGCTTCTGGAGAGGCGCTCTCAAGGGTCCCCATCAAAGCTGTCTCGGGCCGTGTTTGGGACCTCTTGGGCCGTCTGGGGTCTCTCTGGAAGCCACCGTGGGCTTTCGGGGGTCTCCCTTGGGCTCCTGGGCCAGGGCGTCGTCGCCCCTCGAGCGAGGCCGCGAAGGCGCCGCGGCCCGGGAGATTCAGGATGGACCCGTCCGGCATGCAGACTGCCCATGTGCAGCTCTGCCTCCCCGATCTTGCCGAGCAGCGACAGTGCTCGCTGCCACTCCTCGTCCTTCACGCAGGCGCTGATCTCACCGCTGTAGCTGACTCGGGCTGACCCGTGGACTACGTCCACTTGCGGGGTAAAGGGGTGCTGCCGCAAGGCGAGAAGGATGAATGGCGTCGTGTTTGCCTGCCACGTATCGCTGAGCTGCGTGGGCGCCAGGTAGCGCTGCTCGCCCGTTTGGGAGCCCCCAACAAGCCCCCAACGACACCGACGACGGCGGCGGCGGCGAAGGCGGCGGCGGCGGCGGCGGCGACGACGACGACGACGACGGCGGCGACGACGACGACGACGACGACGATGACGACGGCGACAACGATGACGACGGCAACGGCGATGACGACGACGACGACGGCGGCGACGGCGGCGGCGGCGGCGACCACGGGCTGCAACGCTAGGCTGGCCCGATTCAGGGTCACCGGCCCGCCAGCCCAGAGTCGGCGGTGCCGATTCTGGGCGCTCCCCGGCCCGCCGTCCCAGAGTCCTGCCCCTCGCTCCCAGGGCCACGCGCGCCTCTGGAGCCACCCAGCCGATTTGGGGCCCCCGACCCGCTGGCCTACACCCTGCGAAATGCTGAAGAAATCATGGGTTAAGAAATTCATAGTCTCAGAAATGGAATAAAACCCAGAACTTCTATCAAAATCTTGGGATTTATATTGAAAAATTAAAAATAATCGAGACTCTGGACGAAAACTTAGGTTTTCTTAAGCATCGCCTAAGGTGTAGACTTAGAATCGGCGAGGCCGACTCTGGGCCGCCACGTCGCCGGCCCAGAAAATCCCGCCCTGCGCGCCCCGGGGCCGCCGCGCGCGCTTCCATGGGGTCGGCCAGGACGATTTGGGCCGCAGGCCCGCCCGGGGCCAATTCTGGGCCGCCGCGCCACCAGCCAAGAATCCCGCCCAGCGCGCCCTGGGCCAATTCTCGCGCCTCCGGGGCGGGCCTACTCTGAGTACCTCAATATGACCAATAGTCCGGGGGGGGGCCCTGTAGTCCGGGGGGGGGCCCTTGTAGTCCGGGGGGGGGCCCTGTAGTCCGGTGGGGGGGGGGCCTTGTAGTCCGGGGGGGGGGGCCTTGTAGTCCGGGGGGGGTCCTGTAGTCCGGCGGCAGGCACGCTCTGATCTTCGCGTCGTCGTGCACTACAGTACTTACTCGTCGTTCAGACGGTGGCAATTTTCTTTTTGTGGCAGCCCGAAGCACTCGTGCTGGGCGTGGTCGCCTTGTACTCCTGGGGGGGGCCCTGTAGTCCGGGGGAGGGGTCCTTGTAGTCCGGGGGGGGGCCCTTGTAGTCCGGGGGGGGGTCCCTGTGGTCCGGGGGGGGGCCCTTGTAGTCCGGGGGGGGGCCCTTGTACTCCGGGGGAGCATTGTAGTCCGGGGGCCCAAAACTATTGAGGGACTCAGAGTACTCGTTTCTGGGCCACCGACCTGCCAGCCCAGAATCGGCGAGACCGATTCTGGGCCACCGCGCCGCCGGCCCAGAATCCCGCCCGGCGCGCCCTGGGCGGCCGCGCGCGCTTCCGCGCCGCCAGCCCTGAAATCCGTCCGCCCGGCGCGTCCCGGGACGGCGCGGGCTCCTCCGGGGCGGTCCACCGGCCCGCCGGCCCAGAATCAGCTTGGTTTTTGTGACCGCCACATGGTGCGCTTGGAGCCGTTTTGGGACCGTCTTCGGGCAGTCTTCGGGCCGTCTCTGGCCGTCTTTGGCTGCTGTTGGTGCTGTCTTCGGTGCTTCTTGGGCCGTGATCTTGGGGCCTCTGGGGCTCGTTAAGGGGCCTCTCAGCGCTTCTTTTCGGCCTCCTGGAAGCTTCCTGGGGCCCTCTTAGATCTTGGGCTGTCTCGGGTGCCCCTTGGGCCGTGTGGAGGCCGTGTAGAGGCCGTCCGAGGGTTGTCTGGGGCCGTCTTGGGCGTCTCTGGAGCAGTTTGGGCACCGTCTGGGGGTCGTTTGGGGCCGCTTGGGGCCCTTGGGCCTTCTCTTGGGCGCCATGGGCGCCTCAAGAGCCGTGGTGGGGCCGTTTTGAAGCGTTCTGGAAGCTCTGGGGGCCCTCTTGGGCCGTCTTGGGCACCTCTTGGGCCGTCTAGGGCGCTTCTTGGGCCGTCTTGGGCGCTTCTTGGGCCGTCCAAGGGTCGTCTTGGGCCGTCTTCGGGCCCTCATGGGGGCATCTTAAGGCGATCTTGGGGGCCTCTCTAGCCGTCGTGAACGCGTCGGAAACGAAACACACCAGATTGCCCCAACTATGCGTTTCCCGAAAGGAATGGGACGATTTTGGCCTCTTGGGGCTCTCCTGGGAGGTCCTCCAGGGCCGCCTTGGGAGCCTCCTGGCCTGCCTTGGGGGCTTCTGGGGCCGTCGAGGCGGCCTCTTGAACGGCTCGGAATCTTTGGGCCGTCGGGGCGGCCTCTTGAGCGTCTCGGAGCCGTCTTGGAGCCGTCTGGGGGCTCTCCGGGGCTCGCAGAGGCCGCCGGGGCGCCGACTGCGCTTTCCCCGTCGCCCGCCTTTCCCGCACGCGCGGCCCCTGCATTGATGACGTTGGGTTCCAGCTTCGCCTCACACATCTCGCTCAGCAGCGCCAGCGCCCGCTGCCACTGAGAGCCCTTCTCGCACGCGCTGATCCCAGCGCTGTAGCTGACTAAGGCTGACCACGTCCACGATCTGCACGAGCTTTGAAGGCGCTCTCAAGGGCCCCGTCAAAGCTGTCTCGGGCCGTGTTTGGGACCTCTTGGGCCGTCTGGGGTCTCTCTGGAAGCCACCGTGGGCTTTCGTGGGGCTCCCTTGGGCTCCTGGGCTAGGGCGTCGTCGCCCCTCGAGCGAAGTCGCGGAGGCGCCGCGGCCCGGGATATTCAGGATGGACCCGTCCGGCATGCAGACTGCCCAGCTCTGCCTCCCCGATCTTGCTGAGCAGTGACAGTGCTCGCTGCCACTGCTCGCCCTTCTCGCAGGAGCTTACCCCAGCGCTGTAGCTGATGACGTTGGGCTCCAGCTTCGCCTTCCCCATCTCGCTCAGCAGCGCCAGCGCCCGCTGCCACTGAGAGCCCTTCTCGCACGCGCTGATCCCAGCGTTGTAGCCGACCAATTCACCCCAACAAGATACCTTGCACTTGGGGCTGGTTCTTTGTGTTCTAGGTCACTGGGCCCCGTTGTCAGTCTGGCCAGCTCGTCGCCACCCGTTGCATTACATTGAGTTGCATGTCTTTGCATCGCTTTGCGTCATACTGCCTTGCGTTGCATCGCTTTGCGTTGTGCTGCGTTGCTTTGCGTTGCTTGACATTGCTTTGCATTACTTTGCATCGCGTTGCTGTGTTCTGCGATGCGTTGCATTGCTCTGCATTGCTCTGCAATGCCGTGCACTGGTTAGCATTGCTTTGCACTGTTTTGCATTGCTTTGCTATATTTTGCAGTCCAATTCATTGATTCGCACTGCTTTGCATCTCTTTGCGTTGCGTTGCGTTGATTTGCATTGATGTTCATTGCTTTGCATTCCTTTGCGCTGCTGTGCATTGCAACGCTTACAACCATGTACATTGCACCACACGGGTTGCACCACCTAGATTGCACAGAAGTGATCCTCCGTTTTTTAAAAAGAGAACAGACGCTATCCCCCCAGATCATTGCCACCCCAGGAGGATCATGTAATTCACATATGATTGTGCATCATCGGTCGCGTTGCAAATAATTCCTACCATGCCAGGGGTTTCCGTCATCGACACCCTCGTCAGCCCTGTAACCTAATACTATGCGCGCAAACGCTTCTGATACAAAACCAGTCTTCAACAATCTGTTGCAACACATTGGGGGACAGGTCACCACGCGCGGTTCGTCGCGCGCGCACGTCGACATCCTTCCAAAAGCTTTGGGGCTGTAGGGATTTCAAGATCGAGGTGCTCGAACACCTATGCAAAACATCAAGTGGCATTGAACAGTTTAACCCTACGGATTTGGAATATTTTTGTCGAACTGAACCACGCGGGCCTCTTGCGCGCGCGTGTCGGATTCATTCGAACGACCTTGCGCACTTGCTGGGGGGGGGGCACGATCCTCGTCCTCGTCCAAAAAAATGTAATGCGGGCCACTCGCGCGCGTCGGCCGCGCGCGCATGTCGAAATCCTCCCAAAACGTTGTCAACGACAACGGACGTCATCGTCATCAGTGTTACCAGCATTCGCGCCGTCATTAGCCTTGCCGTCGTCATCGTCACCATCGCCCCCCCGTTCATTTCTAACTAGGTCGGGTAATTCCTCCTACAGGCGGATTTTGGATGACAAATGAACATGTGTCTAGGCACATCCAAAAATAGTTTTAATAATCAACAAATCGTCCCCGGATTAGTTTTACTTATTTTGAATACTCCTCCTATGGAAGGACATGCCCAGCTGAATACTAGAATCATCCCTTCCGCCGTTGCCGACGTTAGTGACAATTCTTTTTCCTTTCCTGGGTAACGGGCGTTACCCGGGGGGGGGAATTCGGGCGAAAGGGTAACGGCAACGGCGGCCGCGGCGTGCGCCCGCTAGGGTGCGTCCGCGCCACCGGCGCATCAACCGCCTGTGTGCACCGCACTCCCTGTGCACACGACAATGCCCTATGCCTGCGTGCAGCACACCGCCGACTGTGTACACACAACAGAGCCTCCGCATACCTCAACAGCCGCGTGCACTGCAACACTTCGTCGCCTATGCACACCGCAGTGCCTGCGTATACTGCAGCAACCATGTGCGCAACTGCGCCCGTGTACACCGCATTGCCTGCGTGCACCAGAAGGCCAGCACCGTGAAAATGGATCACTTCAGGATTCCCAGGGGAACACATATCTAATATAAGATGATAATCGAAATCTCCGTGGAAACTGAAGCGCCCCTAGATTCCACAGACTACCATAATTTATAACAGGAAAATTAGAGGACCCCTTATGGAAAATGGAGCGTTTTTAGTTTCCACAATATCCCGTTCCACATACAGAATGCACATGGAATCGTTATGGAAAGCGGAGCGCCTTTGGATTCCACGGAAAACCTGCGTTTGATAAAAAGAACCCCCATGGAAAGCGGAACGCCTGAGGATTTTAGACGCGTGCACCACAACGTGTGCGTACACCGCAACGCCTGTGTACACCTCAACAACCGCGTGCAACACACCGTCGGCATATTCCACAATGCCTGCGTGCACCACAGCGCTCGCGTACACCACAGCGCTTGTGTACACCGGAACACCAGTGTGTACCGCAGCGCTGGCGTGCACCACGTTGCCTGCGTGAACCAAAGCGCCCGCGCACACCACAGCGCCTGCGGGAGAAGGCGCGGGGCCGCCCAATCTTCATCTTCTCCGTGGCGCTAAGTGCATTAAGGACGGGTGGGGTGTGTGGTAAGGACGCAGGACTCTTGGAAAACGAATTAGGGAGTTGTCGGCCAAAGCTGGACACTGAAAGCGTCCAAGGACAGACCGTTGAGGCAAGGACACAAGGGTAGCCTGGAGAAGGCGCGCCTCCTTCTTAGGCGCGTTGCCTGCATTGCACTGCCACCAAGCAGCCGAGCACGGGGCAGAAGGAAGAGAGAGAGAGAGAGAGATCCCCCGCACTTTGCACTTGCGGAAGCGTGGTCGAACCAGCCTGCAGTAGCTGACCCATCGCCAGCTGCATTGGACGACGACGACGACGACGACCTTCCGGCTTTGTTTTACGTTGGCACCCCCTCGTCCACAACTACATATCCCACAGCAGCCTTGCCTGTGAGCACAGTGAGCACATCGCCATACCTGCGGGGGGTCCGCCCCGGCATGTAAGGGGGCCGCCCCCCCCCCCCCCAAGCAGGATCGTTAGCGTTAATCCGTGGGGGGGGGGGGGGCCCAGTAACGAGCGTTACGCCAAGGAGGGAAAAAACACGCTCACTTAATCATGATGCTGCGCCCGCCCGAGACACCGACCCGCATTGAAGCGCCCGCACGCCAGCGCGGCCTTTGACACTCGCTGGAGAGTTCCCATCGGTAAGCGCCATCGAGGCCGCATCGGCTGCGCCAAACCAGCTGGCCGCTCTGCTTGCGAGATTGCGCGCGCCAGCGCGGTCGCAGAAATGCGCCAGCCATGGCCAAGCAATCATCGCAATCGCCGCAGCATGGGTTTTGCAAACCGAGTTGCGGGTGGGAGGGCAGGATGACGGCTCGAGCAGTGGAGCAAGCCACGCCAGGCTCTTCAAAATTAGTGCACCCCACTTGGGTCGCACCGCGGCAATTGCAAGAACGCGCTGTTTGGAGCCCGCGCTGGCCAAGTTTAAGTCGGGCCTGTCCTCCTACAGGAGGATTTTGGATGAAAAATAATACATACCCCACAAATGCTCCAAAATGCTCAGAAATAGTTAAAAGTAATCCCCAGACTATTTTGGGGGATTATCTTTGAATATTTCTCCTGTAGAGGGACAGGCCCGACTTAAGGCTAATTCACATGTGTACCCGTGGCCAATCCACGGCAGGCAGGTCGGAGTTTTGGCCCCGAGCGCACAGATATTGCCGACGCGGGCAGAAGAAGGAGAGGGAGAGAGGTACCAGACAACGGGGGTGGAGGCCAGCAGGGGCAGATGAGGAGGAGTACATAGGTGGAGAGGGAGGTGGAGGAAGAGAAGGAAGCAAGGGGAATAGAGCTTTCTTGGGCATTGGTTGGGGTCTTGGGCATTCTTTTGAGCTGCTGTCGTGGAGGTCTTCCTTGTCACCCCGAATCGGCCGTAGGGTGGCGTGCGCTTGCAGGTGTGCAGGGAGGAAAGGAAGAGGAATTGAGGTGAAGGTGAGCACAAAGAGGAGGAAAGCGGCACCGGAGAGGGGTGTGTGGAGGCACCCAGAGGAAGAGGAAGAGGAGGAGGACGAAGAGGAGGAGGAGGAGGAGGAGGAGGAGAAGGAGGAGAAAAGGAAGGAGGAGGAATCGAAGAGAGGAGAGCAAAAGGAGGGGCTTTCTGGGGCGTTGTCTGCGGTTCGGACATTTCTGCAGGGCTTCTGGTGATCCAGAAACGGCAAATATGCCAGGGATTGGGGCTCGCTTGAGAGCTCCTTGGCAACTACCAGAGTCTCTTGGTGGGCTGTGGGGCATCTGTGAGTGGCCTGGGGCCCTTGTGGGGTCTGGGTCGTCATTTGGCGCGCCCGAGCATCCAGAAACGGCGAATTGTGCTGGGGCTGGAGGCTCTCGTGGAAGCTCCTCGGCAACTGTCGGAGTTTGTTGAAAAGGCTGCAGAGCATCTAGGGGCGGTCCTTCTTGGACAGCTCTTGGGGCCCTCTAGGGCCGCCGAAGAAGCCAGAAACGGCGAATTGTGCGTGGATGCTCCTCAGCATCTGCTGGAGTCTGTTGGGAGGCTGCAGAGCATCTCGGAGCGGTCCTTCGGACAGCTCTTGGGGCCATGTTGGGCCGTTTTGGGGTCCCCTTGGGCCGTCTGAGAATCCAGGAACTTATGCGGCTCTGTTAGGCCGTCTGGGTCCGTCTTGGGCCGTCTTCGGGCCCTCTTGTGCCGTCTTGGTGCCCTCTTCGAGGCCTCTTGGGCCGTCTGGGTGCGATGTTGGAAGGACCTGGAGCGGTGTGGGGCCGTTCTGGGCCCGCCATGGGGAGAATGCCCAACACTTGGAGCAACTGAAAATTTTGGCCTGATCGTTGGCCTCGTGAGGCCGTCATGGGGGTCCTCGTGGGCCGTCCAGGGAGCCTTCCGGCCGGTCGTCGAGCCCTCTGGGCCGCCACGGGGCTCGCTTCGGGTCTACTTGTGTGGATCAGGGAAGCCACCCGCAGAATAAACACCCCAACAAGCGACGCCGTTTCGTAGACGCGCCCGAGAAAGGAATCGAACAGACAGGGCTGATCAGTCAACGCCCAGGGCCGTCTAGTACGCGCCAATTCTGGGGGTCGAGGCATTCTTTCCCCCCTTGATCTGGGGCCGTCTTGCCGCCGCGAAGAACGGTATAAAGCAAACTTTCCCGCTGTCGAGGACGCCTGCCCCCGGGGCGGCTGGAAAGTTGATGCCCCGCATGGGTATAAACTTTCCAGCCGCCTGGGGGGGCAGGCGTCCTCGACGCTGGGAAAATTTTATGTTATGCCGTTCTTCAACCGCGAACTCTTGAGATCACGAGAGCTGCCCCGGGGCCGTCGGCGGTCGGCTCGGGTCGGGGCCCGCTGGCGCCCAGAGGCGCGGGAGGCTCTCGCAGCTCTCGCCCTTTTCGGCGTCCGTTGTGAGCGTTTTCTTATTCGGCGTTTCGACACTGGGCGGAAGGGGGGGGGCGGGGGGGGGTCTGGCTCCGGACCTCTGCTTCATGCGCCCGTTTGCAGCAGTACGTCCTAAAGAGGAGACCCCAGCTGCATGAAACAGGCGCCAAAGAACAGCCAAGATCTACTCCATGGGGGGGGAGGGGGGGTGCGAGGGCCCGCGCCGATCGGCAAAACAACGACTGAGGAAACAATCACATTCTCCGTGCATGTTTCGGCTTCGTGCATTCATTGTTTCGCCAACTGATTCAAGGTGATCCGAGATGCTCTTCGATGGGCCTCGCCGGGAGAAGCACGCACACGTCCGAGCGGAGCGGTGCCAAGGAATTGTAGTACAGATGACGTCGGACTCGAATGTCGCCTCTTTCATCTCGCTGAGCAGTGACAGTGCTCGCTGCCACTGCCCGCCTTTCTCGCACGCGCTGATCCCAGCGGTGTAGCTGATGATGTCGGGCTCCAGCTTCGCCTCACACATCTCACTCAGCAACGCCAGCGACCGCTGCCACTGCTCACGCTTCTCGCACGCACTGATACCAGCGTTGTAGCTGACTGGAGCTCCCTCGTAGCTTACCGGCCACGAAATCTGTCCGAGATGGCACGTTGGACCAGGGCAGAAATGTTGTCGAAAGGCTTTCGTGGTGACAGTGGGCGTGAACTTCGCCTTTGCTGTTGCTGCCTGCAGCTGCAGACTGCTGCTGCTGCTGCCTGCGGCATGGTGATGCTGCACATGTTTGCTGTGCTGCCGTTGCCTGCTGCGAACTGCTGGTGTTCGCTGTTGCTGCTTGAGGCTGCAGAGCTCTGCTGCTTAGCGCCCTTGCTAGATTATGCAACCTGCAGCTCGCGAGTGGAGCGAGGAGCGAGGAGTAAGGAGCGATCAGTCAGGGTCGAGGGGGGAGGTCGGGGAAGCGAGCAGTGATCAGCGAGGAGCACGGAGTGACAAGGGAGGAGCGACGGCTGAGGCGGGAGACAGCGGCGATGAGGGATAAGAGGAGGGGGGAGGCAGACGCCAGCAGCCAGGAGGAAGAGGCGAGGGGCCAGGAGAGGTGTGGAAAGAGCGACTCGGAGTGAGATGAGATGAGCCAGGAGCGAGGAGAGGAAGGTGAGGGGCGAGGAGAGAGCGGGGGGGAGCGAGGAGCAATGATCGAGAAGGATGGCATGAGAAGAGGCCAGCATGGATGTGGCCGAATACATGGTCTCCTCTTGGGTCGCTCATGGGGCTCTCTTGGGTGGCCGGCGCGGTCATAGAGCTCTCTAAGACATCTTCTCTCGGAAGCCTCTTCAAGGCGGCTTTTGAAGTACATTGGGGCCTCTCTGGGCCCTATTGGGCCTTTTGGGGCTTGATTTGGGCGCTTTGGATGCCACCTGGGGCTGCTGGGGGGGGGCCTCTTGGGGGCTTGCTGGCGGTCTCAGGGGTCATCTTGGGGTGGAGCCCCCTCTTGTGGCGGGCCGCCTTGGGCGCCTCTTGGGCCGTCCTGGGGCACTCTTGCGCTGTCTGGGGGGAAATTCGGGGTCATGGAGGGCCTGCTGGACGCTACAGAAAAGGAGCAATCAATTGCGTCTTCCTAAAAAAGGATTGGTACGATTTTGGCTTTTCGGGGCTGTTTGGGAAGCTGCATGGGAGCCTTGAAGGCCTCGTTTGGGCTCCGTTGGGCCTTCATGCGCTGCCTTTGGCGCTACTCGGGCCGTCTTGTAACCGACTGAGGCTCTCTGGGGCGCCTCGGGGAACGTTCGGGGGCGGTCGTGAGCCGTCCTGCGCTGCTCTGTGTGCATTTGTGAAATCTGTTTGGGCCGTCTTGGGCGCTTCTTGGGCCGTCCTGGGGCTGTGTTGGGCCGTCTAGGGTCTCTCGTGGAGGCCTCAGAGGCTGTCTGGAACACATGTCGGGGTCCTCGATGTCCAACTGGAACGCTTTGTAAAGGCGGAATACACAGATGTGCTCCAAATCTGCCCCGAAAGGCTTGGGTCAATTATGGCATTTCGCAGCTGTCTTGGGGGCCCTTTTGGAACACTGCTGGAGCGTCTGGGGGGAGGAGGAGAAGGAGGAGGAGGAGGAGGAGGTTGGAGGAGGAGGAGGAGGAGGAGGACCAGCGTAAACCCAAGAGTCATCAACGAGCTTGGAATTAACCCTTCCTCCAAGTTCCCTCTTCATAGGCCCCTACAACGGCTCATTTCCACTGAAGGAGCTGCCTCGTCGGAAGACAACCGTTTGAATACCTTGAAGCATGCCAAAACATTGTTCTCGGGATTTCCACGCTTCGGATCAAACTGACTGATGCGTCCGGACGATCTGGAATCGCGCCAGAACGCCACTTCGGGGACTTCAACACCGCGAATCGACATAACTGTTGCACACGCATAATCTGGAATCCTTCCAAAACGCCATGTCTGGTACGTTGATCATCGGAATCCGCGAAAATCTGGCAAATTGCTAAAACGAATGTGCGCGGCGCTAAGACGATAACCACATGTTGAAAAGGAAGCGCCCTCAATCCGTGCAACTCGTGCAAATATTTACAGCGAACTTGCTCGGCGCTAAGGCGAGAGCCACATTTGAAAAAGGAACCACTTCAATCCGTGAAACTCTTCAATTTTAATAATGAGTGTACGCGACGCTAAGGCGAGAGCCACATGTTGAAAACCACCCGCCCTCAATCCGCGAAACTCTTGCAATGTTTCAAACGAATGTGCGCGGTGCTAAGGCGAGAACCACATGTTGAAAACCACCCGCCCTCAATCCGTGAAACTCTTGCAAATTTCTAAAACGAATGAACGCGGCGCTAAGGCGAGAACCATATGTTGAAAACCACCCGCCCTCAATTCGTGAAACTCTTGCACATGTTTAAAACGAATGTTCGCGGCGCTAAGGCGAGAGCCACATTTCGAAAACGACCTGCCCTCCATCTGTGAAGCTGTTGCCACTTTTGAAACTTCAGAGTCGTAAATGGTGAGGAAGTCTCTGGCGAAACGACCGGCCCGCCCTAAAACTGGCCTCGGTGTGCGACAGGGAGAAAGTATCGTTTAGGACAAGGACTGGAGGATGAGGAGGAGGAGGAGGAGGAGGCGGAGGCCGTCTTGGGGCCGTCTCGGGCGCCTCTTCGACGTCTGTGGGCTCTGGTGGGTCGTATAAGGGGCGTAGCCTGATCCCGCAGGGCTGGCCAAGCTGCCCCAGCAGCTCCTTTCGGCCTCCCTGGGCCTCTCGGAGGGGAACAAAAACGCATTGATCCACGGCACCTTCGCGCACGCAGAAGTTCTGGCATGGTAGAATAGACGAATGTGAACTTGTGTTGAATCTACGTCTGGCAGGTCAAGGTGTCGGTCCCGAGCGCGCACGTGTCGCCCAAGAAGCACCAACGGGTGCGGGTGCTGGTGTAAGGGGGCCCCGAAGTGTCTGCATGTCCCTCCGTCGCGCCGAACCGGCTGTGTGGGTGTCCCAGGAGAGGTGCGGAGCACGGAGAGAGGAGCGGGGAAGCCCCGAAAGCAGCAAAGGGTCTCCACAGCGGCCAGAGAGTAGAGAAGATGAGGAGGAGCAGGAGGAGGAGGAGGAGGAGGAAGAGAAGAGTGGAGAACGGGAGAGGAGCTCGTCGGGCCGTGTTTTGGGTGAGTGCCTCTGTTCACGGCTTCCGGGAAACCACGAACAGCGAAAATGGGGGAACCAAAAGGTACCGATACCGCTACTCCCCGGACCTCTCCTGGGGTGCGTTCTGACCATAATTTCGATGCGAATCCAGCGGTGGTGACGAGGGCCTCCCAGGATACCCAAATTATGGGTACACGTCGCTCATTTCTAATCGTGCTCATTTCTAAGTGTGTTTGTTTCTAATTGTTCCTGGCCCCCCACTGGCCAGGAGGAGGCCCAGGATAGAACAATTAGAAATGAAAGGACCTTGGCCCCCCCAAGAATCAGAGAACTTTCGAAGACTAAGACATGAACAATGTGTACCTTTTTCCCCTCTTTCGGGGCCTCTCAACGGTTCCAGACACGGCGAGGTGGCGAGCTGCGCTCTCTCCCTGGAGTCTGGAGTTCCCTGGCAGGTATCGGGCGTGGTCTCTTTGGGGACTCTGGGGCATCTCGGAGTGGTCCTTGGAAGGTTCTTGGCCCATTGGAGGCTGCGGGAAGCCTGTCGTCTGGACTCTCGTCGGAACCTCTTCGAGGCCTCCTGGGAGTCTCTCCAGAGCCTCTGGGAGCCCTCTTCGGCTTTGCTGTGGCCCTCTTGGGCAGTCTTGGGGGCCTCTCGGGGAGTCCCTGAAGGCCCTCTTCGGCAACTATGCGGCCCTGTTGGGCCGACTTGGGAACCTCTCTGGGGGCTTCTGGACGCCCGTCGTCTGGACTCTCTTCGGACCCTCTTTGAGGCCTCCTGGGGGTCTCTGTGGAGCCTCTGGGGGCCCTCGTCGGCCATTTTGCGGTCCTCTTGGGCCGACTTGGAAGCCTCTTGGACCGTCCTGGCCATTCTAGGAGTTGCTGGGGAGAGCATGCTGCTACACATGAAACGAGTGCCAATGAGACCAGTCAATGATGCGGCTATGATGCTTGTTCTGATTTGGGGCCGGCTATGATGCCCACTCGTGCCCACCTCGTCCCGCTATGATGCCCACTCGTGCCCGGCTCGTCCTCGTCCCGTCCCCCTACGAAGGTGGGATGGGAAGACGGGCCGTCAACCCCAGGTGAAAGCCTTCTCTGGCCGTCTCGGAGCCATATCTTGCGCTGCAGCGGGGCGCTCCGGGGGGCCTTTCGGGGCACTCGCGGGGCCCTCTTGCGCTGCAGATGGCGCTTCGGGGGCCTGTCGGGGCACTCGCGGGGCTCTCCCGGGCCAGGACGGCGTCGCTCCACGAGCGGTGCCGCGGAGGCACCACCGCCGCCGGCACGGCGGGCGCAGGCAACGTGGACCCCTCTGGCACGCGCCGTGTCCCGTCGTGTGATGTGGATGACGTGGGGCTCCAGTTTCGCCTCCCGGATCTCGCTCAGCAGCGCCAGCGCCCGCTGCCACTGAGAGCCCTTCTCGCACGCGCTGATCCCAGCGCTGTAGCTGACCAAGGCTGGCCGCGTCCACGAGATCTGCACGAACCGGCATGTGGTGGTGGACATGCTGCCGCTAGGCTGAAAAGATGACGTGGGGCTCTAACCTCGCATTCCGCGCATGCTACTGTGTGCTGCTGCTCGCTGCCGCTGCTGCGTGCTCTTGGTAATGCTTACCGCTACCGTGTGCTGTTGCTTCTTGTAGCTGCAGGGTGCTGCTGATGGCCAGTTCTGCTCTGTGCGTGCTACTGCCCGCTGCCTGCTGCTGTTCTTGCTGCTGCTGCTGCTTGCTGTTGCTGTGGGCTCCCGCTGCAGCTGCTCGCTTCGCCCTACTGCCGTTCGCTGTTTAATGCTGCAGGGTGATGCTTCTCGCTACTTCGGCGTTCTGGCGCAACCTGCTGCCGGGAGGGGGTCGAAGAGCGGGGAGTCAGGATCGAGAGCATCGAGGAGATCGAAGAGGAGGGATGGGCGATCAGCGATGCGTGAGGAGAGAGAAGGAATCAGCGACGGCGGAGGGGACAAGGGCAAGGAGCGTCGAGGCTCGAGGATGTTTGTCGTTCTTCTGAACCTTTCTGGGGGCTGTTTCCAGGCTCCTGGGCCGTCAAGCATCGATTCGGGCTGAGAGATCACAGGGTACAGACCCCCCAGGGTCTTGGGGTCGATTTCTGGGAGATTTCGTGGATTTTGAGGGGGCGTTGGGTTGGAGCTCGAGGAGTCGATGTCTGCTGCATGTTCATTCAAGCTGCTTGCTGCTAGTGCTGCCTGCGAACACTTTGCCCCTTTGGTATTGGCTTGGTGCTTGCTTTCTGCTTGCTTGCTTGCTTGCTTGCTGTCCGGCTGGCTGCTTGCTGCTTGATTGCTTGCTTGCGGCTGCTCGAATGCTCTAATGGCGGTCTCTTGGGCTGAAGCTTTGCCTTCTCATGTCCTCTTTGGGGCTTCTTGGGCTACCTTTGAGCCCGGCTGGACCTTTGGGGAGTGAATGGGGCTGCGGGAGGGGGCATCTTGGACCGCCCTGGGACGATCTTGATCCACCTTGGGGCAGTAAGTATGAGGGCCAAGGCTGGATATCGAGAAGCGCATGCGCGCCTTGTCTTTAAAGGGTCTCGATCGGGGGTGCGACCGCCCGAGGAGGTCTAGAGAATGTGTGCGGGCTGTGCAGGCTCGGAGGAAGGCAGAATTCACAAGATAGACTGCGAAGCCTGCGCCCGGAGGCAGGCGGTTCCGGAAGACTCTCAGGGAGAACTCCCCGACGGGTTGCCCAGCTCCAGCGAAGGGAAGAACAAACAAAGCGCCTGGGTGCCCAATGTCTGGGCGGCTGGCGCGGTCCCATGGCCCTCCAAGGGATCTTCCATCGGACGCGGCTTGGAGGTGGTTTTGGGGGTGGCTTGAAACTTCTCGGGGGCCTCTTGGGGCCTGATTTGGGCCTCGTCGGAGCCTCCTGGGGCTTCCAGGGGGCCTCTTGGGGCCTGCTGGCGGTCTCGGATATCATCTTGGGACGGAGGGCGCGGAATGTCAGATTGAGTTCCTCTTCTTGGGCCGCCTGGGCGGTCTTGGGGCTCTCTTGGGCGGTCTGGGAGCCCTCTTGGGGTCCTCTTGGGTGCCTGTTGGGGCGATCTTGGAGGCTTCTTGGGCCGTCTTGAAGAATCGGAAGCCCGACAAAACGAGAACCTAAAAATTCGTTGAAAACGGATGGAACATAAATGATTTTGGCCTCTCGGGGCCCTCTTGGGAAGCCTCATGGAGACCTCTTGGTCTTTCATCTTGGGGCCCTGTTGGGCCGTCTGAAAGCCATATTGGCTGCTTCTTGGAATGGGTGGAGGCGTCTCGGACCGTCGCGGAGCCCGCTGGGGCTGATTTGGGATACGTCATGCTGCCACCCTTCTGGCACGCACCGATAACTACCGACCATAGGATGGATGACGTTCGGCTCAAGCTTCTCCTCCCGCATCTCGCTCAGCAGAGCTAACGCTGGCTGCCACTGGTCGCCCTTCTCGCACGCGCTGACCCCAGCGCTGTAGCTGACTAAGGCTGACCCGTGGACTGCGTCCACGAAACCTGTACGCCCTGGCATATGGTTGATGGACTTGCTGACGAAAAGCTGAGACGATGACGTGAGGCATGAACTGCGCATTCCGCGCATGCTACTGCGTGCTGCTGCGTGTTGCCGCTGCTGCGTATAGATAGTAATGCTTACCTCTGCTGCGTGCAGCTGCTGCTTGCAGCTGCAGGATGCTGCTGATGGCCAGTTCTGATTCGTGCGTGCTGCCGCCTGATGCCTGCTGCTGCCTGCTGTTGCTGTGCGCTCCTGCTGATGCCCGCTTGATGCTGCTGCCGTTCGGTGCTACTGCTGCTGCTTGTCGCTGCAGGGTGATGTTTCTTGCTATCTCATCGTTCTGACGAGACATGCTGCCGGGAGAGGATCGACGAGCGAGGAGTCAGCATCGAGAACGTCGAGGAGATCGAGGGGGAGGGGCGACGGTTGATCAGCGAAGCGGGAGGAGCGATAATGAAGAAGCGACAGTCGAGGGGCTAATTTCCTTGTAAACTTCTTCGGACTGTTTTCGGGCTCCGGGGAAATCAAACATCGATCTGGGGTGAGAGACCTGTCCCCGGACAGACTCCCCCAAAGGTCTGGGGAGCATGGATTTTGTCGATTTGGGGGCGTTGGGTTGGTTGCTGAGAGCGCTGTTGCGAACAGCTTGCCCGTTTGTAGTGGCTTGTTGCATGATTTCTGCGAGCTTGCGTGCTTGCGTGCTTGCTGGTTGGCTGCTTGCCGCTTGATTGCTTGCTTGCTGGCTTTCTGCTTGCTGCTGCTTGCTTCGAAAGCCGTAATGGGGTTCTCCTGGGCTGAATCTAGCCCTTTAGAATGTCTTCTTTGAAACTTCTTTGGCTACCTTGGACCCCCGCTGGATCCTCTGGGGGTGGAAGGACTGCGGGAGGGAGCGGGCTGGGCCGCCCTAAGACGATCCTGAGCCGCCTCGGGGCAATATCAGGGTCAAGGCTGGAAATTGAGAAGCGCATGCGCGCCTTCTTTAGCGAGTCTCGATCGTGGCTGCGACCGTCCGAAGAGGATGGAGAATGTGCGCGGGCTACGTAGGCTCGGAGGAAGGCAGAGTGCACTGCGGAGCATGCTCCCGGTGACCGGCGGCTTTGGACCACTCTCATGGAGAACTCCCCGACAGCATGAAAACTGCACGAACTGGCGTGTGGTGGTGGACATGCTGCCGAAAGGCCGACATCCTGACGTGTGGCCCGGCTTTCGTGTTCTCCGCGCCCGCTGCTGCGTACTGCTGCTCGCTGCCGCTGCTGCAGGTTGCTGCTGATGCCCAGTTCTGCTTTGTGCGTGTTGCCGCCCGCTGCTTGTTGCTGCTGGTGTTTGCTGTTGCTGTGCGCTCTCACTGCTGCTGCCCACTTCGCGCTACTGCCGTTCGCTGCTGTTGCTTGATGCTGCAGGGTGATGCATCTCGCTACTTCAGCGTCCTGACGCTACCTGGAGAAGATCGAAGAGCAAGGAGTTCTGATCGAGAAAATTGCGGAGATCGAGAGGGCGCAGCGATTTGCAATCAGCGAAAATTGAGGAGAGAGAAGGGAGGAGATGGGCGAGGAGTGTCGAAGTTCGAAAAGGTTTGTCGTCCTCGTGAACTTCTGGGGACTGTTTTCGGGCTCCGGGGTTGTCAAACATCGATTCGGGGTGAGAGACCTGTCCGGACAGAACCCCCCCAATGGTCCAGGGGGCAGGGACTTTATCGATTTGAGGGGCTTTAGATTGGAGGCTCGAGGAGTCGATGTCTGCTGCTTGTTTGTTCAGACCGCTGGCTGATAGCGCTGTTGCAAACACTTTGCTTGCTTGTACTGGCTGGTGCTTACTTTCTTCTTGCTTGCTGACCTGTTTGCTTCCTGCTTGATTGCTTGCCCGCTTGCCGGCTTGCTGGCTTGCTGCTGGCTGCTCGTGCTTACTGCTGCTTGTTTCGAAAGCCGAAGTTGGGGCCCTCCTGGGCTGAATCTGGGCCTTCTCGTGTCCTCTTTGAAGCTTCATGGGCTGCCTTGGAGCCTGGCTGCGCCGTCACAGGGCGAAGCGGATGCGTGAGAGAGCGTCTTGGGCTGCCCTTGGACGATCTTGAGCTGCCATGGGGCAGTGTTAGGGTTAGGTCGGGCATGTCCTCCTACAGGCAGATTTTGGAGTAAAAATGACAAGTAGCCCAGCAAGAATTTAAAAATAGCTCGAAATAGTAGAACAATCGTCCCCAAACTATTTTCACACTTTTTGAATATACCTCCTGTCGAGGGACATGCCCGACTTAGCGTTCGGGCCAAGGCTGGACATCAAGAAGCGCATGCGCGCCTGATTCTCAACAGCGGTCCGTCGTAGCTGCGGCTGCCCGAAGAGGTCGGCGGATGCGCGCGGGCTGCGGTATGCGCAGACGAAGGCAGAAGGCACTGCGGAGCATGCATGTGGTGGCCGCCGGTTCCGGAACACTCTCAGGGAGAACTCCCCGACGAGTCGCCCATTCAGACCGGAGCCGCTCCAACGAAGGGAGGAACAACCGAAACGCCTCGGTCCGAATGTCTGGGCCCGAAACGCCAAAGCTCTCTGCGGGATCTTCCATGTCTCTTGGGGGCCGTGTTGGAGGTGTCTTGGGGATTCTCGGGGGCCTCTTGGGTCCTGATTTGGGTCTCTTGTGTTGTAGATGCCACGACAATGGACACTTTAACAGTCCGATCATTGAATTAAAGATGTGTTTAAACTGTGTAAGAAATGTTCTAAACATGTTTCAAACATATGCTTAACATGTTCAAACATGTTTGAAACATGTTTTAGATATCTGAGAATTACTTGGCAGCATGCGTCCTCTCCATTAATCGACGTCCACAACTCCTGTGGCCCTCCTGGGGCTTCTGGGTGGCCTCTTTGGGGCCTGCTGGCGGTCTCCAGGATCATCTTGGGACGGAGGGCGAACAATGTCAGGTCGAGTTCCCCTTGTTGGGCCGGCCTTGGGCGCTCCTGGGCCG